TACAAAGCGTTATTAAGGAGCATTCATTAACAGTTGTACATTAAGTAGGAGGTTCTATTAATTTCAATTTCACCAGACAAAACCACAAGTGAAGTAAATGTATTGCTATTGTAGTGAAATTTTCATTCACTGAGCTTCCTGCATTTAATGGATATGTTTACTGTTCCATTTATAAAGCCAAGTAATAGCATGGTAGAAGAACACATTTATAACTACTACTGTTAACTTAAATAAGATTCAGTTAGCTTCTTCCTCTCGGTAAATATTCACATTAGCAAATTTTCACTAACCTCTTATTATAAAACAAGTACATTTTGTTATCGGCATCTTAATTATTTGCAATTTCTAATCTTGTCGCCTCAGGCACTACAAGCGACTGAGGGTTTATTCTGGCATAATCTTCTCTTACTATTCCTTCTCAGGACTTTATCGTCTTCCTATCTTTCGGAATTTAAGTTTTAGTATTTGTAAACTGCCACACAAATCACCCCTTAATCTCTTTGTTACCAATTTGAATTATTTTTTATCAAAGGAAATGACGCGAACAACAGACAGCCTACATAACAGAACCCAAGAGATATGTAAATAGGACAAACTGCAATAGAGAGGAACCACTGCATCCTGTAGTCTGTTAACTGTGAAGCTCAACTGCTGTAAGACTCGATCGAGAGGAAATATGGACTCAGGGTGTTAAAGCCACTTAAGAGCTGTGGTTATGGAGAAAGAAACTGGAGAATCTTTATATTATCTCAACTATTTTTTTTCTTTATCGTTTTTGTTACCGATACATTTATATGGATATTTTGAATTTTATTGTTCTTAACGTGTATTTGATAGCGCTTTTATATTATCTTCCATTAATGAACAACAAACTATCAGTCTATGTTTAAAAGAAGACCATTTTTCTCATCAACAGACCGGGATGTAGTGAACAGGACCTAATGTATACAAATAAAAACCTTCTCTACCCTCACATATACTCCACAAACCACCTCATTGTCTTGCCCTGTTCCTACGGAGCCAAAATTTGTCCATATCTTTTAAATTACTCATAGAAACCTTTCACCGCCTCAGGTCAAGCGGCTCTTCACCTTCACTCTTAACAAGATAAACAGTTGACACCTGTTCTTTCACCTGCATTGTAGACTCCCATTTACAGCTTAAAAAACGATGGATTTTCTTATGAGAATACTTTCATGTGTCACTCTGATGTCAAAGCTTTGGTCCCTACATGTGGTGTTTCCTCTACAAATCCTTCTCGTATCTCTCTCACTCCTCCCGTCATCTCCTTAAACCTCCTCCCCCTCCTCATCACGAACTACCATACACCTCTCGTCCATTAAACAACATGATACCTCTGATTTTTACTGTCATTCTGAACACGTCTGCCTTTATGACAATGCTGCAGAGATTTCTTTCAGTCATTTCTTTGCCAGATTATCCAACTTCCACACTCTGGTACTGCTTGCATGAAGGTATTTGTGAACAACATTGTGTAAGATTTTTTTTGTTCTTATGCTTCACTCTACTTCATCGATTCCTAGAGGTTTATTATCCCAGAGTCTCCTAATTATTTCTTTATCTTCACATTTTTCTTTATCTCCTATATACATTCTCTTACAATCCTTCCCGTATACCCAAAAATCAATAAGTTTGCGTTCTATGTCTTTGTATTTAACATATCTGCAGAATATTTATCTCCTGTTAATATCTCCTGAATCTTGTAACACTTTGCCGTTCATGTAGATTACCGGCGGCTGCGTTGCTTTGTCATTAAACTATCTATGTTATTTACCACTAAGTATGTCGCCCTGCATGCACTAATCTTAGTTATTCTTCCACGCACGAGACATGGTTGAGGTTTTGTCTCCTTGGACCGTAAGATATGCACACCACTGCACTTGTGAACGATGAAGACCACATTCTGTGTTATGTCGACCAATTGCGAGTTCGTTCAGGTTTTTGAAGAATTTAATGATCGGTATCTTACTGAGTTTCATGTACAGTGCAAGGCCAGGGTGAATACAGATGACTGAATGAATTGATTTATCCATTTTGTTGATTAAAATTAAACTGGGTCCGAAAACATGGCCTTGGGGTATTCCAACTTCCGGGTGCTTTCTTTCATTCTCTTACACATACACACACACACACACACACACACACACACCCTCTCTCTCTCTCTCTGTCTCTCTCTCCTTTATGCTTCTCTCTTTCTCACTCTCTCTCTTCCTGTTATATCTTCGTAATAAAGTGACGCTACTTCACCAACGATCTATAATAAAATAATCGTGCACTCGGATGGTCACTCTTGAATGTACTCTTAATGTTTTCACTCTAGTTGATTAACTCACACGAGGAGGACAGATTAGGAGTTCATAATTATAACCCTATGTAATAATTACTCACTCTCTGGGTTTTTCATTAATCTTTATAAAAGAGAGAGAGAGAGAGAGAGAGAGAGAGAGAGAGAGAGAGAGAGAGAGAGAGAGAGAGAGAGAGAGTCCAGTAACCTGTATATCAAAAGCTTACTCCACACACTCGCTGTACAATAGACAGATCCTCTCCCCCAACACCACACCAGTGAGATAAGTCTTTCAATGATGACAATGCACAGTCGTATACACCCTGAGGTTTTTGGTCCAGATTCTCAACCTATAGTACGATAAAGTCTTTACCCTTACAAGGAAATAAGAGAAAGCTTAAGGGTAACTTGACCTGACCTGACCTATTCTAACCTAAACTGACCAAACCTAACATGACCTACTCTAACCTAACCTAAACTGATCTAACTAACCAAACGTAAGCTAACCTAAACCTAACCATCCTTGCCCGAAGTTTTAAACAGCCAGTAAAGTACATTCATCCTGGACCAGTTAAGAAGAAATATTTTTACCTTACGTTCCTTTAAGAATACAGACCAATAGGGTCCTTGTTTTCTCATCACCAGTTAGGAGGAAAATTAAACGTAAGGGCCTTTAAGGCTCCCGGGGTCCTACAGGAGTGGTGGGTCCTGAAGGGGTGGTGGGGTCCTACAGGAGTGGTGGGATTCTGTAGGAGTGGTGGGGTCCTGCAGGCGTGGTGGGGCCCTGCAAGAGTGGTGAGGTCCTGCAGGCGTGGTGGGGTCCTGCAAGAGTAGTGGGGTCCTGCAGGCGTGGTAGGAACTAGACTAGGGTGTTAGTGTCCCAGTAGTGACATGACGCAGCACCTCCGACCAGCTCCTATGTTTGCCAGTCTATATGTGAAAGTTCAGTCAATGATCTGTGTGTGTGTGTGTGTGTGTGTGTGTGTGTGTGTGTGTGTGTGTGTGTGTGTGTGTGTGTGTGTGTGTGTGTGTGTGTGAAATACAGTGCCCTATACTTGTAAATAATACACACTCACAAACCCAATACACCCACAACCCTTCACTCTACACAAACCCAGTACACCCACAACCTTACACTCTACACAAACCCAGTACACCCACCCACCATTACACACGGCTGCAGGCGGCACCACCCACCACCAGCCAACCCTCGCCTCCTCCAGATATGGCAGGACACCAACACACACTATTAGCAGGGATGCATAATTCATAGTGAAGTGCTCTACAGATTACGGTGTAATATCTCTCGTCTATAACAATCTAGAACGCCGCTTCCTGGGTGGCATATCAAGGTCCTTGGCAGGGCTTTGTCTCAAGACCATTATTCTTGAAACCTATGGTCTTCAGGGCCATTTTTCTTGAATAATTTTATTTCTAAGGGCCATTTTCTTGAAGTTTGTGGTATTAAGGGCTAATGTATTATATTTTCTTGCCTATAAGGCCTTTTCTCTTAATGTTTATTGCTTCATAAAGGGCCATTTTTATTATGACTTCTTGTATCATTTTTTTTATAAATTCTACAATAAAAGGTCATTTATCTCAAGACTTCTTACTGCGCCACACGCATTAGACAGTGAATGATATGCATCACAAGTACTGCATCAGACATCATCAACGTGGAGTCATCATGATAAACAGACTCCGTTAGACATACTGATTAAGCTGTTCGTTCGTCCGTCTGACTGCCTGATTGTCTCTATCTGTTTGTCTATCAAATTGTCTCCATCTCTTTATCTATCTGTCCATGTGTTCCATCTCTCTCTCTCTCTCTCTCTCTCTCTCTCTCTCTCTCTCTCTCTCTCTCTCTCTCTCTCTAATTATTTTTCCCACCTCTATTTGTGTCTTGCAAACTCTGTCTATTCGTCAATCTTTTAATTAATCTCAATCCCTCTTTTTATCGTTCTCTCTACATCTCTGTTAATTCATCTTATCTCTTTCCATGTCTATCTACCCAATCATACAGCATTCTCTGTCTCTAACTATGTGTGTGTGTGTGTGTGTGTGTGCACAGATGTCACTCACTAAATACCAGTATCGCTGCTGTCAGTCACTGGTAACATAAATATCTGAGCAGACAAATTAATTCCTCCATGATAACAAAGACGACTGATAGACAATTTAATTTTAGGGAAAAGACGTTCACTGTTGTCAGTCTCCCGCTAAACCCTTCAACTGTTTAGCACCAGGCATCCGTGGCACTAAGGAACCGTGGCACTAGGGAACCATGGCACTCGGGAACCGTGGCACTAGGGAACCGTGGCACCAGACACTCATAGCACCAGACAACCGTGGCACCAGATACCCGTGGCACCAGACACCCGTGGCGCAGACACTCATAGCACCAGACAACTGTGGCACCAGACACCTGTGGCACCAGGCACCTGTAGCACCAGATAAATACCCGTGGCACCAGACACCCGTAGCACCAGACACCAGTGTGGCACCAGACACCTGTGGCACCAGGCACCTGTAGCACCAGGCACCCGTGGCACCAGACACTATAGCACCAGACACCACAGTGGCACCAGACACTCGTGGCACCAGGCACCTGTAGCACCAGGCACCCGTGGCACCAGACACTCATAGCACCAGACACCTTCGTAGCAATTGCAGATACCTGTGGCAACAGACACCCATGGTACCAGACACCTATGGTAACCAGACACCCATGGCATCAGACACCCGTGGCACTAAGGGAACCGTGGCACCAGGCACCCGTGGCACCAGGCACCCGTGGCACCAGACACCCGTAGCACCAGGCACCTGTGGCACCAGACACCCGTGGCACCAGGCACCTGTGTAGCACCAGGCACCCGTGGCACCAGACACTCAGTAGCACCAGGCACCCGTGTTCAGGCACCTGTGGCACCAGGTGCCCGTGGCACCAGACACTCATAGCACCAGACAACCGTAGCACCAGGCACCCGGCACCAGATACCTGGGTGGCACCAGACACCCATGGTACCAGACACCCATGGTACCCAGACACCCATGGTACCAGACACCCATGGCATCAGACACCCGTGGCACTAAGGAACCGTGGCACCAGGCACCTGTGGCACCAGGCACCCGTGGCACCAGACACCTGTAGCACCAGGCACCCGTGGCACCAGACACCCATGGTACCAGACACCCATGGTACCAGACACCCATGGCATCAGACACCCGTGGCACTAAGGAACCGTGGCACCAGGCACCCGTGGCACCAGACACTCATAGCACCAGACAAAGTAGCACCAGATACCCGTGGCACCAGACACCCATGGTACCAGACACCATGGCATCAGACAGTGGCACCAGGCACCCGTGGCACCAGGCACCCGTGGCACCAGGCACTCATAGCACCAGACACCCGTAGCACCAGATACCCGTGGCACCAGACACCCATGGTACCAGACACCCGTGGCACCAGACACCCATGGTACCAGACACCCATGGTACCAGACACCCGTGGCACCAGGCACCCGTGGCACCAGGCACCCGTGGCACCAGACACCCATTGACTATAAAATTAGATGCGGTGTTGTACTGGTTATCGCTGTCGCCTTTTGTCGAGTTTGGCATTAAGGTCTTGTGGTGACTGTACAGGCCCTGAGAATCCATGAAGTCTTATTTCCTCTCATGTTTGCGATCTAAAGGTGACTGGGGCTGGCGTGCCTCAGGGAAATATACTAAATTTGCTTTAATTGAATGTACAACTATGCACATGACGGTGTATACACTCTTGCTCTCTCTACCAGGAAGAAGAAACTCTCTACACTGCTTAACGTCAATCATCCCACAGTGGACCATGACACCAAGATGAAGCAACAACCAGGACGGAAGAGTAGATGAATGGTATTGTGACAGTAAACAACAATGAAGTAGATTTCCTTGGTGTGAAATAAACTTGATAGAGACGACGACGAAGAACAACATGAAGAATCTTAGAAGTACGGTAGCGAGGAAGTTTGCAGTCTTAAGATGCATCTCGCACATATTAAAAAGCAGAACTCTGTACGCACGAAGCACAATCTCACTAATAAACTGAACCTGCTCAGCTTTCCTGGATGGCCGGCTGGTCTCCTGTCATATCTCAGACTCCTGCACAAGAGCGAGGGGCGGGCTGGGAGACTCACCTCAGATTTATGCTAGAGAGATGTACCTTTTACTCGTAATTTTTATGTTTTAATGCCTAAATAATGAATTGAAATAGAATATACGCTTAAGTATCTTAGTTATTGAAGCTAAGTAAAATATTATAGCATCAATAACACAAACTGGTGGGATCTTACACATCAAGAGAGTCTACGTCACCGTGGAGAAACTGAGACCCTTGCTTTTATAGTCAATATTAACACAGGTTGTCCATAAAGTCCTTGTACAACTTGAGGCTTTATTAACTTTCGATATACACATGACAGAAGGAAACTGCCAATGTCATATGCAAGGTTAATAAGTGAATTCTAAACACAAAGCAATTAAAAAATCAAGGATGCAGCGTGACCGCCATCATTCGAGAATTCTTCGTTCAATCCGATTATCCAGATGGCTGAAAATATCCTCCAGATGTTGCTGAATGGTGTCAAGAACTGCATTTGTGATCTTGGCCATAAACTACTCGAAGGAATTGTTTTTGTTTTTTATCTGACTAAACAACGGATATACCACGATCCTCTAAAAAGAAGTTGGATAGGGCCTGGCCAGGTGCACAAAGTGGCCAAGAGAACGAGGTAACCAAGTGAAGCAGGTGGCCAAGTGAACGAGGTAGCAGACCCAATGAGCAACCCACTAGCCAAAGAAGACGTCATCCAGGGACTGTCGAAGTATAGTGACAATGAAGATCGTATAAAAAAATAAAAAAACATAAACCTTACTTCCATACGCCATTTACAATACGCTTCTATCATGTACACATTCAAAGTAAAAAATATATACTTTACTTCAAGTTATAGAAGGACTCGTATACTTCAGCTCCCCCATCTGTATCTCACTCCATGTACAACGAAAAAATGGGATTTACGCCATAAAAAAAAAAACTCGATCAAAGGTACAGTAGATATAACCTGACTTTACCGTTCCCGAGAGCATCACTTCAGCAGCGGTCTTTCATTCCGCGCCTTACCCGGATCTGGAACAGGTTTACACAACAACATAGAAATATCAGTTGAAAGTCCTGCCTGCTGCATAACCCTCGTAGTGAAGTTACCAGTATTAAAAAGGTTGGATTAGGTTAGGTTTAGTATCAGAAAAGTAAAAAAGTAATGTAATTCATATTGAGAGAGAGAGAGAGAGAGAGATCCACTGAACACAAAACTCCATACTAAAATAAAGCTCATATTCCCCCCGACCCCCTACACCGCTACCCTACTACACTACACTTCCCTACACCACCATCTGCCAGACCTCCCCATCTCCACCCATTCACCCCACAAACCCTCCCCACACCCTCATCTGTCAACACCACCTTCACCCACGACCATGAAGACCAACCTACAACCATTATCAAGTCAGTAGCGAGGACCTAACTGACTCGTTCTTCCTGTGACGAGGCCGATGTGACAGGGCCGGTGTGAAGGGGCGGTGTGACAGGGTAGGAGTGATGGACAGACGGGACAAATACCCACTATGAATTGGCGTTCTGTTCCTTCTATTAGTTCCTTTCCCTCCCTTTCCCTTCATTTTTTTTCCTCCTGTAGCGCCTCCAACCTCCTATCCCCATCCCATCATGTAGACGGGAGATCTATCCTGCTTGTTGAAGGTGGGTAACGTGGCGTGTATTTGACCAAAACATTTGCACTTGTGCCCTTTGACCGCTGTAAACACTAGCCCTGGTTACACCCACCGCTCTCTCTCCTCTTTTCGTTCCCCCTATTCATCCTCTCTCTTTCCTCTCCCCTACCCATCCTACCCCTCTTTCTCTCTTGCCCTGTTCATGATATCTTTCCTCATTACTCTCCTTTACCTATCCTGCCCCCCTCTCTGTCTCCTCCCCTATTCATCTTCCCTCGTTCTCCCTCTTCTCTTCAGTCTCCCCTACCCACTCCTCACCTCTCTCCTCCCTTTTGTCCTTTTTATTCTCTCTACCTACCTCCCTTCTTACCTTTCTCCCATCCCTTATCTCTCTTTCTTCTTTTCTCCCCCTTACCCATCCTCCTCACCTTGTATCTCCCCTCTTTCGTTTCACCTACAAACCCCACCCCCCCCTCTCTCTCTCACCTCTCTTCTTTATCATCCATTCACTCTATATCCCTCTACTTCTTTATCAGTCATTATCTCTCTTCATTTCCTCTCCTTCCTCCTCCCCAACACTTAGCACGAAGAGTGAGTGAGTGAATGAAGTGGGTTGTGAAAAATGGATGAATGAAACAGATTGATGGAAAATTTACTACTACTACTACTATTAAACTACTACTACTATTAAAACTACTACTACTGCTACTACTACTACTGTACACACTAATTGCATGTGTGTGGGGGGCGTATTTAAAAAAAAAGAGAGAGAGAGAGAGAGAGAGAGAGAGAGAGAGAGAGAGAGAGAGAGAGAGAGATCCACTAGGTATATACCCATCAACACCTGCGTGAGGCGTCTGACGGTAAGACAGGTCACGTCAGGCAGAGAAGTACCCTGCCTCCGTCTTCCAAGAAGGTCAAGACAGGTCACTCAAGATTTCTAGTTTGTGTTAAGGAGGAATTCAGAGAGGTTAGGAAAGTTCTTTGCTCGGGGCTACAGAGGTCAAGATTTCTTTACGAGGAAGCGAGAGGAAATTTGGAAAGTTAAGGTAACGTTTGCTTCGAATCAAAAGGTCAAAAGAGGTCATTTGAGATAAAATCTGTGTTCTTGTGTGTGTGTAGAAGCGTATAAGGAGTTAATAGTAAATCTTAAAAGAGATTCCCAGGGTAAAGACAAATCACTCTAGTCTCTCCTGATTGTGGAAATTTAGGACTTTTAGGAGTTGTGAAATTTGGTCACCAACATCCAAAGGTCAAAGGTCACCTAGGATGTTATTCCTACTTTGTGGAGATTGAAAGGCATTAAGTTAGGAGTCTTGGCATGGACTACAGAATTTAGAATACATTTTCGTACATATACCTTGTTAAGATGTTGACGAGGTATTGCATTTATACAGTGAAATATGAATTGCTATTATCTTTAAGAAACACTTGCGGTGAAGATATTTACATTGACATTATTGGTGGATTTAACACGTGAATAATACTTCTATATTCAGTTAGAGAGCGAGAGTAAAAAGTATATAAACTCCAACGAGGTCTGTGTCTACTTCAGCCAGCCTCGCTTATTGACGTCATAATGTTTACATCATGGCCGCCAGAATAACGAACATAATTCAGGAAGTGGAAAAAGGAAACGAAAAATTAAGACTGAGACCGAACAGATTCCCCAAATTCCCAGATTATAGTAACCTCTAAAATAATCTACAAAGGAGAAACAATCTAACCAATAGGTGACCGATATTGACTTAACGATCAACAAGAAGGTTATACAAAAACTGTAAAATAATCAAAGTAGCATAACGAGGCGCGTGTTAGACAGAACTTGAAGAAACGTGAGGGAAAACTGGTGAAGAGGAAGAAACCCAGAGTAACACAATTATTACAAGGACCAGGAAGTGAAGGGCGGGGAGCAGGACACACCACATGAGGACGTGACCAGGAGCCACGAAACCTGGACAACACCTGATGGTGATGTCAGGTCCAGAGGCACTCAGAGGGCAGCAAGGGCTCAAGACACAAGAGTGTGGAAGTACAGTATATGAGGAGGCCTCCTTGTAGCAGCGAATAAGAAATCGATATAGGTTGAAATACTACTGTATATACATATAAAATGAGCATGCACATATGCACTATATATATATATATATATATATATATATATATATATATATATATATATATATATATATATATATATATATATATATATATATATATATATATATATATATATATAATGTGTAACATTGTTTATTTCATCAAATCATAAACTAATATAGATTTTTTAAAGGAAAATAATATAGACTAATACCTCAAGGCCTATAGCTGAGGTTTTGAGCAAAATGTATGCCATCACACATGACAACCAGGAGCTCAATCACCATAACTCTTAAGCGATTTATTATTGGCCAGCAATAACAATCGGCAGTTAACATGTAAATATCTACTTCCATCTACATACAATGGCAAGTGAGTATTGGCGTGTATCAGTTTGGTCTACCCGAGCTAGTTGGCTGTCAGGTGTTAACTGAGCACTTTTACAGCCCCTCCTGCGGCCCTCTCAGCCTGATTCCTCTTCCCCCTCTCGAGCCAAGCTCCGCCCCTTTTACTCAGTCCGATGCCCCCGGGGGTGAAGATGCTGCCCAATGAGCGCGTGAGTTATCCAGCACCACGCCCACCTACGGTTCATGACTTACCATTGGTTAAAAGGTGTTACAACTGGTCTTTTCATAGCTATTTTCGCCCTTACGTATTAATACTTTATGCATGTTATTTCACTGTATTTCATTTGGTTGATGTGTCACTGCAGACTCGAGTATGTGATATACACCTGACAGAGGTATCTGAACGATCCACGCAGGTAAACTAGGGATGATAATTGCTTGATGCCACGCCGTGAAGATGGTTCTGAAACGACGAGTTGAGGGTAAAGGTCCAGGCCATGGTAAGGGTGTCGATTCTGACCAACCCCGTTAACATACGTCTCCAGCAACAAACAAACATCCCTCAGTCACCTCCTGTTAGTTTACTTCGTCTGGAGAGACCTTCACGCGGGGAAAGCCCCTTCTTCGGAGAAAATCCCAAATTACGTTAATCTTAAGGCATTTCAGACAGTACTGGAAGCGTGGTGCCTCTTCATTCCGAGCGGCGGAGCCTCCGGTATGACCCTGATCAAGTGGGAAGGTGAGCGGGAAGGCAGCATCATCTCAGTTGTGCGCTCGAAGGCGGGGTGAGCGTACGTCGTCCCAGGAGGTCCCTTGCGTCGCGCTCTTCGCCTCTTGCCCGTGGACGCTACGCCTGGAAGAGCCTGTTTTGAAAACCTTGGAACATTGTGCTGGTGTTTTGACCGCTGGAATTTTGTTCTTATCATTGGCTGGGTGTGAGTGTTTGGACAAGATTCCTATTTTGTGGAAATCGGGAGACTTGTAGATTACTTGAAAGAGCTTCAAGAAACTCGGAGAAATACTCGTGTATTAGGACCATTGACAAAGTGCCACTTTCCCCAACACAAGTGTCTCTTACACTGGAAAAGTAACAACATAAACCTCAAAACTCTAAAGTCCAACCCAATTAGCACTCAAAAAAACTATACCACACAATCCCTCGAGGGCAGGTAGAAGCTACCCTCCATCAGCGCCACCAGCAGTAGGTCGCTACCTCAAGAAGATGTTCTGAGAGGACCCGCGTGACTCCTGGATTGTTTGCCAGTTGGGAGAGTCGGGTCTCGCAACACTGTGAAGAAGCCACCAGTAAGAGGATTAAGCGTGTTATGGATTGGCCAAGAGGAGCTCCTCCAGCCTAAAAATCTCCGCCATCGTTCTAAGAGGACGAGGGCTGAAGGGTGCTGCTGCCGCACACACACACACAACCACCTGTAGAAGTCAATATTAGCCCAAGTAAGTTGTTTCCCTCAGTTAATGAAGCAGGAGATCCTATGAAGTGACGGTGAGAGTTGGTGTAGGTGCCGTCTGGCCCTGCCTCGCTGGGGCACTTGAGGACATCTGTCACGACTGGAAAGTGGGAATGAATGTGAAGTCTTATAGGAGAGAGAATGTGCTAATATTATAAAAAAAACATCACACACAGTTGTAGAAATCACGAACAAAACCTCGTGTATCTATCAATATTCCCTTGTGTAGGTGATATCAACGCTCAAGTAGGTCGTGATCCAGGTGGCAGGTTCAGGTTTAACCCGGGAAAACGGGCTCAGGATAATGGCTAAGGTAAAGTGTTGATAAGCGCGACAGGACAGGCTCAGTGCTGGGGTTGGGCAGGGCGACAGGCTGAGAGCAACGGTGTGGTTGGGCAGAATCAGGTCAACTAGCTGCGCTCAGCATAAGAGAAGGCAGGACAGCCGGCTGGATCAACGTTGGATTAAGGTATGCCGGTAGGCAGTGCTCGTCAGTAAGGAAGGGCGGGAGTATGGCTGGATAATACCTTGGGACTGTTGCTGGCGTAGGGCAAGGATGCAGGCTGGGACCACCACTAGAGAATAGTAGGATGACGGGTTATGACCATCGCAGGGGTAGGGGAGAATGAAACCATGATTGGGGCAGGGCTGGGTGGTAGGCTGGGACCATCAGTGATGTAGGTTAGAGTGGTAGGCTGGGACCATCATTGAGGTAGGATAGGGTGGCAGGCTGAGACCATCATTGACGTAGGTTAGGGTGGCAGGCTAGGATAATCATTGAGGTAGAACAGGCTAGGACCTTCATTGAGGTAGGGCAGGGTGGCAGACTGGGATCATAAATGAGGTGGGGCAGGTTGGGTCCCTGACTGAGGTAGAGCAAAATTGCAGACTGGGATAATCGGTGAGGTATTACAGGGTGGCAGGCTAGGACCATGACTGGGGTAGTGCAAGGTGGCAGGCTGGAATCGTTACCGAGGTAGGGCAGGCTGGGACCATCAGTGAGGTATAGTACAGGGTGGCAGGCTGGGGCTAACGCTGGCCAGACCCACAGGAACAGAACAAACACGCAACAATTGTGGCCTCGCCAGAATGATACACCCCCTCTACTCGTGTCTCCACTCAAAGGAAGATGCAATTCACGAAAATTACTAGTAAGTTTTTCTCGCCGTGACGACGAACACGATCTTGCCATATGCGCTTCTCTGGTCCCGAATTTAACGCAACTCTCACACGACGGTCATCTTGGGGGGGAGGGGGGGGTGGTACTCGCATGCTAGGCTGTGTGAGTCTATAAGTCCTAATCGTATATTTAATGTTACGTATTCAAGCAGCTTCTTGTGAGTAATGGTGATGTTATGAGTGTTTCCTTATGAGAATTGTGAGCTATGATATGTATATGAACATCTTTTGTACTGGTGAGTGTGTGTGAGGAGGGATGGTGTGTGTGCATGAGGGATGGTGTGTGTGTGAGGGATGGTGAGTGTGTATGAGGGATGGTGAGAGCGTATGAGGGATGGTGAGTGCGTATGAGGGATGGTGTATTAGGGAGTGTGTGGAAGAGGTGTGAGAGTGAGAGTGTGTGTGTGTATGTGAGATGGTGAATGCAAGTGAGGAATGGTATAGTGGTAATCAATAGTGTCTTGGTGATGGCTGTTATACACTGGTGATCACTGCAGGTATACTCAAGAGTGATAGCATACTGGTAAACATCAGTATACTCGTATACTCTCTGATCACTGGAAACCTCTTAAGCATATACTAGTGATCCTCGTCATATAACTGAGCTTCTAGGTACGATATTATATAGTTAACTGGTAATATATATCTCAAGAGTAACTGTTTACATCTATAACTGTTTAATATAGCACTATCTAATGACCTAAACAACCGCTATATATATATTCACATGGATTTATAGCGCAGAGTCTAATGTTGCTGTATATAAACGTTATATTTTCACCTGCCAGTATGTTAAAACTATAATGAAGAATTTGTATTGTATGGTAAATTATTCACTATGCATAATATTGTATCTGTTATAGGTAATTATAACAAGAGTATGCTCGATGTGGTAATGTGTAGCAGAAGTATACTAAATATAACAAAACTATACCATACGTAACAGCTCCCCAAAGCAACCCGGTAACAACACTGTATATCCGTTATATAACAGCGATAGAAACGGGAATCAACTTTCGTAAGATGAGAGAAATGAAAATAGGAAGAAACACTTAAGAAATATCCTGAAAATATATGAAAAAAGAGGAAAATGAAGTGAGAAATATCCTTGATGGGAATGACAATGGGAGTGATACAACCTCACTAACAAGAATGATAATAAATGAGGTTAACTAAAGATAACAAAGAGAGAAATAACAATAAAATTAATAGTTATTCGTCTATGTGTGTTATGGTTCTAATTAATGTTATTAGATATTTAAATTAATCTTAACCTTTGTTCTTAGTTCTATGATAATATTTACAATAATTACCATTCGAAAAAAAGATATTGATCTATATGTATTAAATTAAATGGTATATACAATTATTAGAGTCCTATAATTACTGGATATCACTGTCTGTCTGTCTGTCTGTTCACTAAGCCCCGATGCTGAAATTATATAACTGTAAGGAGTAATATCTATCTATCGGTCTGTTTGTCCGTATATCTCTCTATCTTTATCCAACCTACCGCTTTCTACTACCCCACAAGGTTGCCAGTGCAAGACTCTCGGCCCCCCCACCTTAGGCACTCCTATCCTTGCACAACTCCGCCTACACCGCCCACTCTTCCCACTCCGCCCACCGCCCACTCCTCCATACTGACAGCCCTCTCACCAACACGCTCCCCCCCCTCCCCCCATCCCTCCCTCACCCTATCCTTCCACCTTGTCGTGATCAGAAGACACTGCACCGTATATCTCACCCAGTACTTGACCACCTCGCGTCTTAATGGCCCAGAGATCACCTATTGCGGTGTTATGGGGTCGTCTCTTATATTACGCCTCCCACTGGTCTCCCACCTTAGTTTTATCGCTGGTATGATATAGTGGTGTGGTCGGTCGTGTGCTTAAAACAGTTCATCGCCCTATAGTTAAATTCAAAAGCTTTATGTAATACTGTTTTAGGGAGTTGGTGTTACTAGACGTTATCTTCACCGTGTCCAGCTGAAGTGCAACTAACATAAGCAAAAATTAAACTAAAAAAAAAATATTACGAAGTATTTTTAACGTAACAACAAGGAGTCAGGATAGTCTAAGCACAGGTGATGAAATGTAATTGATTTTAATACTGATAGAAAATTTACTCTTATGATCATAACACTACAGGGTGAAATATATAGCTTTCAATATAACTTTCAAATTACAAACAGAAAAAAAATATATTACAACGAATATTTATAATAACACGATGCGTTCAATACTTCAGAAGGGTTCATCTGTACCAGTGAACGTGTGTGAGGGTCGTGGAGGGACCAGTGTGTGTACTAATGGCTGCTTCTATCATTTTGTACCATTTTGCGGGAGAATAGAAGTCAATACAATAGACAGTGGTCGATAGATTGATAGATAGATAAATATACAGTAGGTATCGATAAAGAGATAGATATATATATAGCAACGTAAATTGATATATAAACACAGATCAGAGTCAATGCAATAAATAATGGGTAGAAGATAGATTCAAAGACTTCCAATAATTATACCAAGACTTTAACACAGCCATAGGAGGTGATAATTCCTGATAAGAATCTTAAAAATAATACTAACCAGGTGAACAAAGAATCTCATTATGAAAATTAGCATCACGGGTAACTTTTTTTTTCTACGTTACAAACTTTCTAAAGCAAATCTACGTGGAAGTATGTTACTTTCTCTAAATAAAAGAAAAATTTTACTTTCTCTATACTACACATTCTCTCGAGGGAAACAAACATGTGTGTGATTAATGACAGGTTAATGATATACTAATACATTACTCATATAACTGTTAGTGTTCATAATGATAATGTTTAATCCTGGCTAAATAACCTGTTTCAATATCAACAGGATAATTAACACAGGGAAGATGATTAAACTCCATAAATCAAAGTAATAATTAAAAGTATATTTGGTATTTAAATATAATAATTATGTCCGGTTTCCATACATTATGATTATACGTAAAAAATTAGATTTATGCAAATTACGAACCACTTATCTGGGAGAGGGAGTTGTAATTACTCAGATTACAAGTCACTTATATAAAGGACATACAGTATACTATGTAGATTATAATTTCTCTTAATATGTCAGATTTACACGGAACACAATTTCACCTGACGTGAGTAAATCAGATTTAGGTAAATTGCGAAATCCTTCTGTAGAGATGTCATGAGTGTACAAATCCTTCCAAGTAATTTACGTCCAATTTTCGCGGATTACAGTTTCACCTAACTTAATTATGTCAGATTTACCTACTAAATCCCTACCTATGGGAAGTATCCGATTTACGAGGACTTGAGCTTCTCCCAGATTAAACCAGATTCACCAGAACGAAATTGCTCCTAAGTGAATAAAGATTTACGGACACTTAAAATTTGTGAAGTGAATCAGATTTACACAACCTGTAATTTCTCCTCAACACAGATGAAACAGATTTATGCAAATTACGTCTCTTTCACGAATAAAAAAGAACACTTCTATACAAATCACGATTCTCCCTAATGGCGCACACACACACACACATCCCGCCCGTCACTCTTATTAAAATCATTCGTCTCCGTCAATCCCGCCACCGCCGCGCGCAAGTGTGTGTGTGTGTGTGTGTGTGTGTGTGTGTGTGTGTGTGTGTGTGTGTGTGTGTGTGTGTGTGTCGCTCTGACCGCTCCGAGTCTCATTATACAGGCAGGCCGACACGTCGCTTCATGCCTCGTCACCTTGTATAATACTGCCAGGGATCTGCTTGTGGCTGTCATGCTCACGGTACGCGGCTGGTGTTGATGGG